AACGCGTGGACTGCGTGGCTAATGCGTAGCGGCTAATTCAAATATACGCGGGTTAGTGAAGCCGTGGAGCTAGCAAGTTCAGAAAACTCGTCCGGCCCCGCCCTTCCTTATTCGAGGCGTTTTGCTTTGGTTCTTTTTTTAAATTCTGGTCAGTCCGGCATCCATATCTTCATTATATCGACCGCACCTACCATCACATTGTCATTTCCGTTGATCAGATTTACGAGTGTGATAACGGTTGAAGTAGTTTTATCATATTGCAGAATGTCATACATCAATACTCATTCCTCGTGTTCACTGCATGTTTGACGTTCTTCCTATTCTTTGTAATTAAATATGTGCCCGAAACAAAGGGCAAAACGATTGAGGAGATCACTGCTGAACTTGAGAAGAAGTAAAGGTAAATTCGTTTCTTCCCTTGTTTTTTCCCATGTCCTACTCGGGGTGTCGTTAAGAAGGTCCACGTTGCGGCTGCTCTCAGAATTCTTACTTAGCCAGCCAACTCAGCCTACTGTAACCCTTTCGCGTCGACATAATTCGTCTGAATGTACGTCCAATACCGTTTATTTTACGGCGCAAAATCTGAAAAATTTGGCTTAGTTGATCTTCTCCTCTGTTTGGATTTCTACGGATATTCGAGACAGCTGATAACGTTCTGTGTAAAAGGGTCATAGGAGAAAAATGAGATGAAGCCATAGGAAACCTTTTATCAGCTCGTTTTATCCCAGCGCTCAAACATGCTTAGATGCGAGCTCAGTTTAATAACGCGTTCCATGCGGTCGCAATACGGGCCTTCTGACCTACACCCTTCTAAAGGCAGACATCGCGTCAGGTTATGGAGGCGGTGACCCGGGCGATTCCAGGCGCACGCCTCTTATTGGCTGACTGCTTTGCGGTCGCCCTGGATCGTTCCGCCCACATTTCCTGTGCGGAGCCGTGCCAACTACTCCTCTCCTTTAGACAGCTTCAGAGTTGGCGATCGTACATGCGATTAGACGATTAGGCGATCAGTATATAAGGGACGGGATATGTATCGATTGAGCGATCGTGCGAGTAGGCGATCAGGCGATCAGGAGATTAGGCGCTTAGGCGATTGCTGAATGGGCAGAGCAAGGAAATGGAAATCGATCGGATTCTTTTCGTATCACCTACTCGCCTACTCGCCTAATCGCTAACTCGTCCTAATCACTTGGTCGATACGTACTTTTTTTCTTTTTGAGTCCATAGCCCTCACCACTCTAATTCGCCTATACGACATGTCAGATCACCAACTCTGAACCCTTCCTCATTGTTTTCCGTCAGTCCCACGCCTCTGCCTCCGAGATCAAGCTGTTTTTTCCAGATTGCTGTATGTGCTTCAAATCGCTGATAGTTCATAGAATTTCCATCGAGCCCTGCCTGGTGAACGTCTTGCATAAAGATAAAGCATGTTCGTTGTCTGTTTTTGTACCCAGTTGACTGTACGGGCCTTTCCGTTTCTCAACTTTTTTTGTGTTCTGTTATTAACCCGGTCCGCAACAATGCCGTAAGTGACTGTCAGCTGATTTGAAGCCCTCATTTTTTGATTCCGACATAAAATCGCATTCTTTGCCAGTATCAATGAAAGATGCTTATTGTGAACACTACCCGCTTCCAATAGGTTTGCCTGCAAGCGTCTGGCTCTACAGCAGGGCGTGTTTGTAAGCTCGGTCATCAGTCATCCATCCCCGCATTCGATATCCACGCACTTTGCCTGATCTCTGTATATAGGGATGCCTGTAAAAAGACAGCTCTTTAACACTGTGGCAATTAGTGGATTAGTGATGCCGCCGGTCGCCGAATCAGGCTCCTTCTTGAATGCACATCCCCATAAATAGTGCATGAACGTGATTTAACTTGCATGGATGTCTTTTTGTGGCATTTTATTTCTTTTCACCAGATTAGTCCCCCGTCAACCGCCGGGACCTTCCTTTCCTGCGCAAGCTTTCTATCCTCCGCTATGGTCCCTTCCTCCTGTGACACCAACACCTCGTGGAAGTGACCGACGTCGTGCGCAAGGGGCAGGTGCATGGTTGCACTGTGTATGCAATACGAAGTTATACGAGTAGAAGGGACACAATCATGATATGACGGTAGATTTTTCGCTTCCCTTCCTCATCCTCCCTTCCTCTCTCCACTGCCCTCCAGCTGCCACTGCAGCACCATGTGGAATGAACGGAAGTGTGCTAAGCAGGTGTTTATATAGCCCTGAGAGTGTTATCACAACTATCTACAAAACATGATATCTCAAATCCTGTAAGCTACCCGATTTGTTAGCGGTTTGTTTATCCCATGAGCTTCCTTCTCACTCACTTCATTTTGCGGACGGACACACATACACACATCACACACACTCACACACACACATACAGATACACAAACCGACACACAAAGTTAGCGCTTTATAAATAGAAGGATTCTACCACCTCCGAATGAATATCCTAATCTACTCCAACGGAGTGTTGTGTGGTGATGTCACGCGTGCGGCTGCGTTGCGGCTACGTGGGCTCACATGCGCCGCGACCGCGCGCGTCAGTGATCGACATATTGCACAAGTTTTGTGGTGCTTGACTTGCACGTACCTTTGTTTGGAAAATAATCCGGTCTCCCATCTCTCCACGTTTCTGTCCGCAAGGTCTGTCCAGGTATGACCGGTGATGAAAACCGTGCCTTGAATGTAATCTCTGCAAACTCACTCGCATGTGCTCTCCACATGTGCTACTCACCTTGAGCGCTTTGAACCTACTGGCGTCATTTTCTGCCCAGCCGCTAATCACATGGCGAGCAGCGAAGCCCATTGAACAAAGACCATGTAGGATTGGCTCTTTGAAGCCAGACATCTAACAACGCATTCGATTTTACGCAAAAAATGAATGAATCTCAAAGAAATCTCAAGGAAGGGTTATACCCTTGGCAAATGTTGGGTCAATGTGAAGCGGATTGAGGTCGCCAGAGCCCATCCGATATAAAGTCGCCTGGAGGAAATAAAAATAAGCATGTATCCGACAACTTTTAAGAGATTCTGGTACTTTATACAACATGGGGTAATGTGCTCACATAATGTGATTGAGTTGGTTGCTTTTGACTCAGCCGAAGTATTGTTATATCTTGGGCTCTTCCTTTTCCTTCGTTATTGGCACATACTGATACTATGATTAATCTATTCCATGGTTTTTCATCGAAATAGCTAAACTGATTTGATCGGTGGATTTCGCCTTTAACCCATTCGCGACCGCGCGGGATTGCGCATTAGCACGGAGAGTCAGGAGATTTTTCTCAATAAAATTTGAGTGGATGGAGATTCCCCTGCCCAGGCTGGCGTAGATGAATGAGGGTATGAAGATTCTTTTCAGGAAAGAAAACTTTCCAAATTCCCATTTGAAACACGGCAGCCACCGGTGGATACCATTTTACGAGTGAGATTCGGGCATCACCGGTGCTGCCTTTGTCACGAACGGGTTAAAGTGACTCGTTGGTCTTAGCCAAATTACATTAATTTTCGGCAAGTCTATGCGTGTTCCAAACTAATTTAGGCTATGTTCAAACTTATCTTCATTAGGACGGTGTTCTGTACCCAGCGGGGTGGCTACCGTCGACAATTCTCTGCGCAGAGTGTGGTCGTTGTTGGCGTTATTGGGCAGGTGGCGTTTCGTCAGCGTTTTGGTGGGTTCCGAGCAGGGTCAAGTCCTATCGTTGTTACTTTTCGAAAAATTTTTACGACCCCCCTCCCCCAAGGTGGATTTGGTACGACCCCCTTTTCGACCCTCGACCACCATATTCCTCGCTATAGTATTTAATTCTGGTATCACTCAACCCACCAAACTCCGCCCACTTTTTCCTCCAAAAATGCCGTCGAGCGGGGGTATTGGGGGGCGGAGGGGAGAGGGCGACGGGGTATAGTCCCTCTGAAACAGTAAAAATTTTCCCACAATTCCCTAAATTTTCAACCAATTTACCCTATTTCTACCTATAATCTCACTGTTTCCTTTTCTAGGGGGGGTATATACACCGGCTGAAACGGCAAATTTTTATCTTGCGCGCCCTCTACTCGCACAACCTACTACCCACGAAATCTTAGTTTCTCCTCAATCCCACACGTGATTTCGAGCGACTAAAGTGGGTACGACCCCCCCTCCTACAAACTCAACCAGGTACGACCCCCCCCCCCCGTTGTTACTCGTAACAACGTAGGGTTGACCCTGGTGTCGACATCTCTCTGTACGTCTGTGGCGACGCTTCCGGAAGGTCGCTCTGGGGGGGGGGGACCGCGCATGGTCTCCACCTTCAAGCTTGACGACACTTTCGAGGAGTTTTGGGTGGATTTGAGAGTATGTTGGAAGCGCGAGCTGGGATGGAATCTTGAGAAAGGAAAATAGCACTGTAGTCATCTTGAAGGGATGGTTTGTGTTAGCCTAAACTTTCTTGTCACGTAGCTTAACCTGGTCCCACTGCTTTGCAGTTCAGTGCGCAAGCGTCTGAATCACTTAGTCCTTCTCGACTTCTCTTAGTATAACAATAGCACGCAGATATACGGAATTCATGAGCGTACCTGATCGACAAAAGTCTTTTCTTCAAAGACTGCGTCCGGCTCTCGAGATGGTATTTCTGCCGCAGCTTTTTCATGAGGGCTATTCCGTGGACCACCAAATTTACCCGAGCCAACTTGGAAAACACACACTTGCTGCATCGCCAGCTTTTTGCCGGTACTGTCGTCATATGCGGTGCCTGGAAATTAAAATGAGGTTGTAGTGTTTATCGTTCACAGTAAGATCTACACGGGTAGTTTTATCGTTTCACATAAGACTACACGGGAAGGCTTTAAAATCCGAATTATTGCAAAACACCTTGAAAAAAGCGTGACTCATATTTGAATCATACATTGAACGCCATGCGAATAAATGTGACTCACATGCGAATCACGCTCATGTCATTCATTTTTTCATACATGCGCGATTTTCGGATTTTTTCTACGCGTTGGTCATACTTAACATGAGGTTTTGTCATCTATTTTTTGTGTAGTTTTCACTCAAATTCTGCGTACATGAGGGCGAGATGACCGCACATGTCCCACGCAGCAAAAAATAAAACCCAAACGCGCACTTTCATAAGTGTTGAACTCGGCTGACCATAAGCCATTCTAGTCAGATAACATCGAAATATGACATCAAAACCGTGACTGCCTAAAAAGGGTTACTTATGGGCCGAAATTTTTGCAACGCACTCACCTTCTGTCAAAATCAGTGCTCCGGAACCTTTGTCAAGGATGTCCACAACGCGAGCCTCTGAGCGCAATCTTGCTTCCGAAGGCAGTGGCTCATACACCTCAATGTATTGCTCTCCGTGAAGAATCCGTACCAAGTCGAATTCGATCCCTGAATAATTGTCGCTATAATTATCATACGCAAGGTTGACGCAGTGGCAAATGGTGCTGCTCTCTCGGTGCACCTTCGGGGGTCACATCACAGACCGAATTTCGCCCAGGTCACCTATTACTTTCACTCATTCTGGGTCGATTAATTGAAAGCAGACTTATTTGAAAAAAAGCTGATTTTGAGAGATGAAAAACACCTCGGCGGGGTGGTATTCGATTTATGGAGCGTTCGTATTTGGAGCTCACCAGGATCCCACTCCGATGGTGCGAGCAGGGTCATATTTGTGGAACTTCGAGGGTAGTCAACAGTAACTGCTTGCTTTTACTATGATTTATCAAACAATTTATGAATGGTGCTTATAGAAGAGGGAAGTCATTTGTTGAGAAATGGGGGAAAGGCTGAACGTGACAACTAAGCCTGCTCCTATGTCATTGCATAAGCAAAATCGCATCTGAACGCTCCTACGATTCTCATGTG